CCCCAAACCCCGGCAAATCCCCCCGATCAGCGCACGGGGTGTCCCGGGGTATCCCAGCAGCGTTCCTGGCGCCGGGAGAAGTTTTCCAGGGAATTTGGGAGGTTTTGTAGGAGCCTGATGCAAAGCCCAGGATTTACGTTATTTTAGACCAAGTTAACAGCAGAAGGAGTTCGGAACTGCACCAWTAATTAATATTAATTATTATTATTATTCCCCATTCCCAGATCCCTGGGATGGTTTTCCAACTCTATCCCCTTTTTTYCCTCACCCTCCTGTTGTCCCCGGGGGGCACAGTATAAAAATCAAACCTTAAAACCCAATTCCAGGATTTCTTTTTTATCAGAAGAGCTTTAAAACTGCCTCTTTTTCCGATTTTATAGCCAGAATATTTTTGAGATGGGGACTGTTGTTCCCAAGCCCTTCCCCAAAACCATTCCCAGGTTAATAATTCCCATTTTCTTCCCCAGAGGATGAGGTTTTGGGCTCCACGCTCCCACTTCGGAGAGGTTTTTGAGGGAAATCACTGGGAATTCAGGAAGGAAATTSCCCCAAAAGCCAGCCAGAAGTTTGGGATTAACTGATCACATCCTTAGAGGAATTGCTGGAATCCCATGAACTCCAGAATCCCATAGAAGTGATGGGAATGAGATGGAAATGGATCTTTTAGGGCAGCAGTAAAAGAGGGATTTCGGGAGGGGGCTGGGAAGCAGCAGCCCGGCCCAGGAGGGGTTTTGGGATGGAATTCCCGCTCTCCAGGCACCTCCAGGATTTATCCATCCCATGGACTATCGATTTTCCTGCAGTGGGAGAGGGCAAAGCTCAGCGGCGCCGCTGGGATTGGAAACCTGCCCCAAACCACCCCAAAATCTGCTGGGATCCCCGGAATCTGCTGCTCCAAACCACCCCAAAATCTGCTTGGATCCCCGGAATCTGCTGCTCCCAGCCCGGACAGGCCCGGGGATTCATCCCCACGGGAATTCTGTGAACAAAGCCCTCTCCTGCCCCAGAGGATTCCCGTGGGTTGGATTTGGGAGCTCCACAGCAGATCCCACTGCTCCCCCTCAGCATTCCCAACATTCCCGTCCATCCCAACCCCATCCCGCTGGGATCCATCCCAAAACACCCCCAGGAGCTCTCCCGGGATCAGCCTGGGCTGGGGAGCTCTTCCACAACAGCCCAGGGGATTCCCTGCAATCCTTTTCCAGAACATTCCCACCCTGGAATTCCGCCAGGAGCTCTCCCTGGGCCATCCAAATGTCAGTTTTAAGAATTCATTTTGTCCTGTCTCCCTTTTTTTTTTTTTTGTGGATTCAAAACCCTTGGAATTGTTAATTCCTGCCGATCCCTGTGTCCATACCCAGGAATTCCAGGCAGGAAACGGGGAAATGTAAAATATGAGCTCAAGAATTGGGAATTTTGGGCACTTAGGGAAGAGAAAGGACCAAAAAGTCTGCTTGGAATTAGCCCATTCCCTAAAAATCTAAATTTTCTCTATTTTTCAGATATTTGGAATGGAATATTCCATCTCTTGGGATGAATGAGACCTTAAAAATCTYCCAGTATTATGTTAAAACTTTGCTTGGAATCTCCCTGCTCAGGAATTTCGGGAATTATCCCAATTTTTTTTTTTATTTTTAAAGCCAAAGTTTCAGCTTGGGAGACTTCAAACTGAAAGGATTCCCAAGATGTTTTTCCATAGGATTTGTGTTTATCCCCCAGAAAGTCTTTGGAAGAGCAGGAGGTTGTTACAGATCAAAAACCTGGGAAAGCCCAGCCAGGTTTTCCCAAATAAATGAGCTGGAAGTTGTTGGCATTCCCCGTTTTTAGAAATCTGTGTTTTCCCAAGGATTRTGAATTTTCCACCCTGTTTATTCTGATCTTTATTTCCATTTTTCCTGCTGGGAATAAGTGGATTCTCAGCACATCCAAAAYGCTGGGATTTTTCCCCAAATCCCTGCTAATTCCAGCTGCAGCTCCCGGAGTCTCCTCTCTTCCCGCCCCACTCCGTACTAGGTCATTCCCTAACCTGCTTTTCCTGCTCCAAAATTAATTCCTTCCTAAATTTAGATTTCATGGGATCATTACTGGGCTTATTTTAATTTTATTTTTTTTTCCCCCAGCAGATTCCAAGGGGAAAAATATTCCCAAAACACCTCAAGGAGTTCACAGCAATCCTGGAGCCTGAACCCGAAATTSTGAGGGCGCCTTTCCCAGGATTC